AGTCACGCTACCCAACACAACCCAATAAGTTTTCCAAAAATCCGTTGTGCAATCCATTATGCAAACGACTGTAGCCCTAAGGCTTGTAGCCGACTCTCCGGGGGGTCAGACGATCCCCGGGTGATGACCCCTTGCCTCCGGAACGTGCCTTCGTGTTTGTATTCATTGACCACATGCACAGCCCGCCATGAGGCTTCCACACGGCACTCAACCTTAACCTCTTTCCATCCCACTGCCTCCCAACCTCAAATGTCGACATCCACTTCTCGAGACCAATACCACCATTATATTCCCAGATTCATACTGCGACGATTTTTGGAAGACTATGAGACGCTTAAATCACAGTGAGTCGTGATGCCTGCTGATTTTCTCTCGAATTCGACGAGTTACGATGCAGGACGAACCAGCAGCGTAGGAAGGCTGCGCGAAAGGCTCATAAAAAAGGAATGCCAGACCCAGAGTGCATATTTGTTTTTGATCTGGAAACCGGGGTTCTGGAAAGTCGCCCCATCGGGAGAGTGTATGGGGAAGTGAACTTTTACCAAGACAAGGGGAACGATGAGAATAGGAATCATTTGGAAGAGAAACTAGCCTTCCTGGAAAATAATGCCGCCAGGATAATCACCCACATCCACGCATCACTCCCCAGTGGTGAAGTGGTTCTCGCTCGCAAAGACTCGGAGGTGCTTCGAAAGTTTGTGTTCTTGATGCATTATCGCAGCAACACGGTCAGCCGCACGTATTTTCAAGAGGACCACCCGGGCAATGCCCAAGCCAAAGGTTGGATTCGTAATTTCAAGAAGAAACGGAATTTCACGTCGGATGCTGAAGTGTGGCTCGACGGCCTCAGTTACTACCTTGAAACACCACACCATACTATCCTGGCTCATTCCAGAGAGAACGAGGAAGCTGGAGGGACGGGGAGCATATTAATAACGATGATGGGCGAGACTGATATCGACATGCCACACTATCATGCGGAAGCATACACCAACTTTGTCAACGACTATTTTCTTGCTGTGTGGGAGGCGGCTGATGATTCCGAGTTCATTTTGGGCCATAATGCCTTTGGGCTCTGGGAAGGCACATTTTTAGGAATGAAAAAGCTTTTCAAGATTTACGTCGTTAGTCCCCGAGTGGTGCTCGTTTTCAAGACGAATATAAGCCGACACATGTTCCCGAGCGTAGAGGGGCACAGTACCTTGACGGACATCCCGATAGCCAAGCCTGTTCCTCGCTACTTCAGAAGTTTCCCGGCCCCCGGCCAGTTTTCACCAGAAGATGTCAAGGAATTCAAAGCATATGTATCCTCCACAGAAGCACAGCAAGATAGATTCATGTTTAAAATCACGAAGCTCTCTCAATCCCAAACATATCTTATCAATCAGATCGTCTTGCAGAATGTTCGACAGAATGGGTCTATCACCTTCGCTTCGCATACCTTCATGTTCCGCACTATACGTCGGTATGACACGCCTGAAGGACCGTTCACAAAGGAGAATAGAAACAGGCTGCGCCCTCTCATGGCCCAACTTGCGCCAGCCGAAAGGGATGATTTTGCAACCTCAACAGACATCGAAGACGAAGATTTGGAGAACATCTCAGTGGATTCGAGGACGACGTCGCGTGTAACTCAGGCTCCAGTGAAGCTCTTTTGGGAATCGCAGGCCGATTTCACACTGCGTGAAACCTACCACCAAGTTAAAAGCGGTACTCTTACCTTCGGAAGTGACTATGATCGGGCCATTTACCTCCTCCCTATTGTTTCAAATTCTTCTGAACGCGTCATTCGCGAAGGGACAGAAATTGCGATCAGTCAGTATTCCCGCATCCTACAAGTAGCGGACCTGTCGCCAGGTTCCACCCCACCTGATGCGAAATTGACGCCTCTTCGCCGTGGAAAACTTGCTTCATCATTGGCTCCCCAGCATTCATCCCATTTGTTCAACTTGGTCGAGTTGCCCTCTTTCAGTGATGTCCCTGAAACTCGTATGGCAAGAGTTATCTACCAGGTCATTGTGGTCGGTCTGTTGAAGTGGATGGTAGATAACCACTGTGATCTCGCAAGAAAGCTATTTCCCAGCGTCCCGTTCATCGAGTACGAAAGCGTCGATGAACTGCGGGGAGTAGAAATAACAACGCTTGGCGAAAATGCTGCGTCTCTCGAAAAGCCGGAACCACCACAGGTGATCGAACGAGGACGCACAGTATTCGCACCGTCGCCGGATGATGGTGTTGTGGAGGGGTACTTAAGACCTCCCTCAACATCCATGGCAAATACCCAGTGGAGTCATAGCCTCCCCCTAGCTTTTTCATTGTTCACCAATGGAGTCTCTCAGAAAGAGGAAGTGAATCCCACAAATTCTTTCATACCTGATGACACCGTCAATAACGTCGAAGGGACCTTCCGACTTGGAGCTAAACCAGGTGCCAACTCGATTCCCTCCTTCGAGGAGGGAGTATCTCGGGGGCTACCGTTGGCCTCGTCAGCAGCTACGGAAAATGGGATTATTCCACCTCGACCAAAGACGACTCGTTCCACGAACTCTTTGAAATCGAAAGTTGATGAAAACGCCGGAATGATGTTCAAGGAATTCTTCCCAGTGACAGGCGATCAATCCGCTGACGCCCTCATTGACGCCACGTTACTCCAGATCGTGAAGGGGCAAGATGGCTTCACGAGCAGGTATGACAGAGCGCTGAGGATATTCCAGCTAGCGAGCTCCCAGGAAGACATGGAGAACCCCGTAGTCCTTACGATTAGGAACGCCGTACGTTTCATGGTCGATCGAATTTCTAACGTTGTGATTGCCGTGGACGGCGCTCCCCCAGATGAACTTCCCGAAGGCCACCTCGCGAATAATCTAAGCTTCACAAAATCAGAGCTCTTGTTCGTCTCTGTCAAGGCCCACCCATATTTCTGTCATTTCCCAATAAACTTGGGAGAAATGGAGGGCACTTATATTGGCGCCCTTACTCACGACGCAGTGATTGTTGGCGTCTTGTCCTGGTTGATAGAAAAGAGGAGCGATGTAGCAAAGAGAAGGTTCCATGGTATGCCAGTATTCAAGTTCAGCATCCAGGTCAACCACAACGCCGGAGTGATGATCGAAGAAATTTTCCCAGCGATAGGCAATCAATCCGCTGAGGCCCTCATTGATGCCGCATTACTCCAGATCATGGAGGGGAAAGACAGCTTCACGAGCAGGTATGACAGAGCGCTGAGGATATTCCAGCTAGCGAGCTCCCAGGAAGACATGGAGAACCCCGTAGTCCTTACGATTAGGAACGCCGTACGTTTCATGGTCGATCGAATTTCTAACGTTGTGATTGCCGTGGATGGCGCTCCCCCAGATGAACTTCCCGAAGGCCACCTCGCGAATAATCTAAGCTTCACAAAATCAGAGCTCTTGTTCGTCTCTGTCAAGGCCCACCCATATTTCTGTCATTTCCCAATAAACTTGGGAGAATTGGAGGGCACTTATGTTGGCGCTCTTATCCACGACGCAGTGATTGTTGGCGTCTTGTCTTGGTTGATAGAAAAGAGGAGCGATGTAGCAAAGAGAAGGTTCCATAGCATGCCAGTATTCGACTTCAGCGTCCAAGTCAACCACAAGCAAACTTGGGGGCGTCGGTCTTTAACCTGGCTTTTTTGCGCGATTGGATTCTACAGCCTATGCGGGCCTACTGTGAGGGGGTACCTTGCACGTAGCATACTGAAAAAGTGATGCATTAATTGTTGTTCAACATTCACTTTTTCGAAACACTACGTGCAAGCTTTCCGACTGTGACCGATCTATTTACCTTTTCCCTGTGTATAGAAGTGTATGTTTAAATGCTCGGGAGTGACTGTTTGCAATTGCATACCTCTGTGAATTTAATTGTATGGGTAGGATGAGGCAAGATTGATATGTGGTAGGCGTCAGTCTTGAATTTTCGTAACTTGAAGCTTGGATTTACATAAATAGGTGATCGTGAAATATTGAGGTTTTAGGCGGCTTTCTCAGGCTATAAGTTATGGGGAGGTCGTTTTGTAGCTCGTCATAAATCCGACCTTTTGTAATACACGCGTAAATCTACAATTCTTCAGAGAGCCAAAAGTGACTAAACTGGTGACAGTTGGCGCTGCTTTCTGCGGTAGTGCATCACCAACTCCGCTGATTGCCTCCAGACATACTGCCGTACAGCAGCCAGCGTCATTCCAAGTGGAAGCAACGCGTCATTACAGAGGATCTCATACAAGTCCTCGCCTCTCGGGCGAGATGACTGAGAATGATTGTTCGCTTCTGTTCGTGGGCTCGATCCCAATACATGTTCAAGTTTGTCTTGGACCTTGCGCACACAAAAACTTTAGCGCAGCGCAAAACAAAGATAGAACGCCGTACATGATGGATGAGCTTGGAGACACGAAGATTTCGGTGTGCAGTGAGCCTAGATTGGGTGCTGAAAAGCTCATAAATATCAGATCGAAAAGATGGAAGAAAGTCCACGTACGTGTTCAACAATTCTGGTAGAGGTTCGCAGTCTGGGTCTTTGTTCCAAGGAAGCAGAACGAAGCTGAGCTTGGCTAGTGGGGTGGGAATCGGAATTTCGTTGAAAAGCAAATATTTGATCAACCACATCGGCATTGCCTCCTCCAGAAGATGAACGTCTAGGTGAATTTGCAGCACAACCCCTCTGTATACAGTCATATAGCTGGGTGACGCTTCTTCCTCAATGAATACAACGGTTTTTTGAGGAAGAGAATACAATAGCCCGTCAATAGTTGCGGGTGGCGAAAACGTTTTAGAGAGCAGAATTTGAACTGGTGATTGTTGGACTTCAGGAGACGCTCCCTGTGAAAAAGAGATTCAACCCTCTAAAATAATTGAAGCCCGCCAGAAATATACCTCTGGCGACGGAGGAACCTCTGAAGGGGTGGCGAGAAGAGGACTTGCAATGTCGCTGACAGGTCGTTTGGTAATCTTTCCCCCAAAGTTCTTGAGCCTTCCCATTATCCCGCCTGGGGTGCTAGGCGTTTGGGGCTCCGGTTTGTTCGGACCTGCCCACCCAGAAAAGTCATCCGGAGAGCTAAGCACACCTCCTTGAATAGATTGTTGACGTGTTCGCGCAGTGAAGTAGTCATCTTTCGTAGACGATGATGGGGTCTTAGATGAGTTCAAGTCAGCATTTCCCGAGCGGGACCGTTGATGAAAACCGGGGGTCGGGGTGGCGTCGCTGCTTCCCGGAGATTGAGGAATTGTCGATAATGCCGCCAAGGGTTCTCTAACGTGAAGGTTGAGAGGGATCAAGGGCGCGAGTAGCGGTGATGATCGCACTGTCGTAGATATAGTCGGAATTATGGCGGGAATCATTTTTGGAGAGCAAACGACGACGCCGCTGCTTGCCTTGCGCACAGGACTTTTTCGTGGATATTCAGGTGAGGACGGAGGTTTATGATGCGAGTTAGAGCGGCTGAGGCTTGGGCCTATGGGACCTTCTGCAGAGTTACTCGGGCTTGAGCTTTGTCGGCTCTGTTGCTCCTCTCGAATAAATCCAATGAACAGGTTTCGCAACACCCATTTGCCGATATTCACTGTAGATTTTAGATGAGCGCCTCGTAAGGAGCGCAAAAGGGCAAAAACAGACGTTTGAGGTCATCATCGCAGTGATGATCATGGGAAAAACCTACTTCGTCGGCATAGATTTCAGCATCAAAACATCGCTCCGTCAGATGTATGGTCAATACACCCGTCTTGGTATCAGCAGTGCACCAAGTCGAAACGACCGCTTCACCTTCAATCCGCTCGCGCACAGCCTCAAGCGCTTCGCGCGGACTCCTTTCTTGCTCACCGTTTCCCCCATTCAAGCTCCCGGACTGACTCGCGGCTGCGACGTCTTCCGGAGTGTACCGACCCAGGCAAGTAGCGCGGACGATGTCACACACAGCCACTTCTCCAGCAGTATCAACAGTCAAAGCGTGGATCTTATCGTTCAGGATAATGGATCGCACAAGCCCGCGATCACCGTGTAGCACATCATCAGGTCGGGCACAGATTGGGACAGCGTCCGCCGCGATATCGCGCTCCTCATAATCCGCACGGGCTATATTGGCAGGAAGCATGGTGTCGTCTGTGCGCGAGGTGTGTGGCGGGCTGGCGTGCGACTGCGCAAAGGCGTTCTGCGCTGAAGGTCGGTTTATCTGATGCACAGACATGATTGACGCCGCGGAATAGAGAGTTGCGACCTCGGGATCGCGAGTACGGTTCGACGGATAAGACGTGAAAGGATCATTTGGGGAGGACAGTTTCACGAGACTTTCAAGTGGTATACCGTTCAATTTGGTGTCAGGGTAACGATCTGGGAGCTGAGCCGAGCTGGTGGAACGGAAAGAAGGCACGGACGACATTCTTCTTGGTTTCCCGTGTCCAATTGAACGTATGCTCGCCTCTGGAGTTAGATCACCCTTCGGGGCTAGCCTTCTGAGTGTAGGTGACTGAGCTATTGAGATTCGATCCCCGTCTGTGTCTATGTATGGTTGTGTAGGCACCCTCGTTACTCGTCGCTGGGGAATCTGCCATCGCTTGATGCTGGACGTCCCAGAGGCAGCCCAGAGAAGGTTATCGTCCATTACCACAATCTTGTTGATGGCTTCTGGCGACGATCGATTTGAGTCGCCCGAACTGTTAGACAAGAGAATACATTCTCCTTCTGAGAGATGAGAACAACCTTCAATATCAACCCTGCAGGCGAGCCCGGATCTGTCGCCAGAGTAGAACGTCTCGAGGGACGGATGATTTGAGAACAGGGACCAGACGGAATCAGTGTGATGAGTGAACGTGTGTAGACATCTTTGTGAAGACAGAGACCATAGCTTGATTGATGCTGAAACACGGGAATCAGATGAATATGAGGATAAGTGTTTTCAAATACCTACCGTCGGCAGAGCCCGTCAATATCTGATGCACATTAGCAATGAGAAGTCTGTGCTTCACGTAGATTTATGGACTTACGTATTTGGAGTCCTCCGAGAGGAGAATTGCCCTGATATTATCAGTGTGCCCGACAAGTTTACCTTTAAAAAATCAGATTTGGATAAGCTCAAACAATGAATTGTTTACCAGTCCGCTTGCCGTTTCGAGGGTCCCACAAGCGAACGACACGCTCTGGAGAGCCAGAGGCGATAGTCCGCCCAAAAGGATCTGTAGCGAGAGCGTAGACGGATGATTTTGGCGCGGCGCAATCCGCAGAGTTCATCGTGATGAGAGGATTAGATGCTGCTGCGGGACCCGTTCGATTGAGGTCCCAAAGTTTGATGGTTCGATCGAAAGACCCAGATGCCACCCAGTTTTGATCTCGGCTGCAAAAAAAAATTGAGAGACGGCGACGGAAGAAGGCGGAGACGCACCAGTATGCCAAACAGCGTACATAGTCGCTATGGAGCCCAATTATCGATGGATCCGATAATGAGGTGGAGTGTGGACTCCAAGCTTTGACTGTGCCATCCGATGAGGCAGATACAACTGTTGCGGCGTAATCAAAAAGTTGGCGATGAAAAATACCCTTTGCTCACCTGTTTGATTGTAATTGCAAATTAGTATATCGTTTACCCAGTCACTGTGCGCTTGCGCACACTGACGAAATTGGCTATGCTAAAGAAACTTAGTAAGGAACGCCTTAAAAGATATTTCAATACGCACTGTCCCGGGTTCAAACGCCGTCAAGTCCGTCTCCCACTGCTGCTCATAGGGTCGCTTGCCAACAGAGCTAGCTCTCCGCCTTTTAACCTCGCCAAGGACGTCGCCGTCAGTCGCAACATGGTCGTCATCTTCTCCGTCCTCGTCGATAAAATTGTCCGCCCAGCCCGTCAAAACTTCCCAACTCCCATTGCGCGTTGGCTTGGTATGCCTGCGCTTCTTTGTTGTTATCCCCAAATCCCAAGAGATAATGAGGCCATCGCGACCCCCAGAATATAAAATACCCTGGGGGCCATTCTTACCCAGGAGCGTGGTAGACGTGTCGAGAGCTAATGATGCCACACCAAGGCGATGTCGAGGATGTCTTGCCCTGGATTCCCTGAACTCCGTGCGGTTGTTTAAGGGCGTTAAGAGGGGCCCTGTGGATCCTAACCGAATAGCTCCATGGGAAGGTAGTTTCAGGCGGGGCACTGATTCGTTTGGAGGAGGAATAACGTAGGACACTCGCCGTCTAGCTTGCGCCATATCATGGATTGAGGTGGATAGACGGGCGCAAACAGTGGTGATAGCGAGCAAACATGTCTTGACACTGTCAACTCGCCATCACCGGGATCATCCCTTCCACGTGGGACTTGATCTAAATTACTTACCCACACTCATCAATTATCAGATAAGCTGGGTAGGACCAAGCTTCCGGACGAAATGAAAATTGATTGAATTCAAACCCTTGGGGATGCTTGGTTACATAGATATATGAAGATTTAGTGAATATAGGTGCGACACATCCAGAAGGACTTGAGAAGGACGTACTCTCAATGCAAGGGGGTCTTAGGATTCCAAAGTCCGACCGGGGGTTGGGTAGGTAGGTCAGCCACAGGCTGAGAAAAAAAAAATATGGAACCCTCTACAAAATGATCTAAAAACAGTCCTGGAAGGCCATCCCCTGCAAATTAGTAGTGCTAGTGCACTCCAAAGCATGTAGATCAGTCTGAATTCAATGATATTGAAGCATTATATAATACTGTACTAATACGACCATCTCTTCTGGCCCTTTTGGGCGTGACACGTTTTGACCATCTCTTCATGACTTCAATATCCGATGTGATGTGTGACGAAGAGTATGAGCTCTTCGTCCGAACAGGGGCCATCGTCGATTTGAAATTTAAAACAATGTTGTACATGCAGAAAAATCTTAGATGGTGGGACAATTCTTGTTAGAAGTAGATGAAATATGCCGAGTGCTGTTTACATGGCTAGGGCGCCGCAGGCACCAGAAAAATTAGAAAAAATGGATATTTTAAAATGCCAGGAATGGCTTCAAAAGCCAGTGTGATGTGTGACATCACACTCACTTCACTTCCTTCAGAGACCTCTGTGATGTGTGATGCGAAGGCATGGTCATATTAGTACAGTATTTCTTCAAGCTTATCTAATCTCCACCAAGTGTCAATGTCACAAAGTTCATCTTGAAGGTGGAAGCTGGCACAACCAAAGAAATACAGTCACTAAACATCACTTACAAGTTACTGGCAAGTTGTTTAGAAACTTGTTCTTGATACCAATTATGTAAAACACCACATGCCCAATTGCAAAACTCGGATAAGCCTAGTGCTTGGAAGTTAGGTTAATTAACTGGAAAATAACCGAGACCAGACCGGACCTAACCGCAAAAAAACCGGACCGCGGTTAGTGGTTAGTCAATTCTGGAAATGAAATAACCGGTTATTTTGCGGTTAACTAACCGTTAAAAAACCGGTTATGACCGGTTACAACCGACCCTATTATACCCCTTCAAAACGCATCTAAAAGCATGAGAAACGCTAAAAATCTGACAGAGTTATGGTCAAATCTCTAAATTATTGGCTAAAATAGTAGGCTTTCAAGAATATTATTATAAAATTGTCAATTCTTCACCGAATTTAGCGTTCTTGGGCTTGTTTTAAAGCTACGACGCATGGCAATAATGTTTACTGCAAGGAATATGAGAAATATATGCCGTTTTAATCGATTTTCTATTTTTTCGGTCCTAACCGGTTAGTAACTGCAACTAACCGGTTTTCATCGGTTATCTTCGGTCCAGTTAGGTTATTTTGGGTCTGGGAACGAACCCTAACTGGTCTCGGTCTCGGTTAGAGCCCCTGGGCACCCAATAACCTAACCTAACCGGACTTTCAAACACTAGATAAGCCAGACTTGCCAACAGACTTAGATCTGCCAACATTAAAATATGTTCTATACAATAAAAATTACAAGTCACTCACCTATATTCCAGTATCATCTACATTGCATTTGGTAGGAAATAGATTCACAAAACTGGGTTTGCGAGGCATCTTGGACAAAGCGATGAAAATGATGATGTCATCTTACCATATATGGACACGTGCCTGATTACGTAGGTAGGTAGGTCAAGCCAGTAAGGGCTTAAAAAAAAATCGACCCCAGGTCTATTTTTTTAATCCTAGGACCCCCTTGTCTCAATGTAAACTACTTAGGACCTCAAGCTCAAGCTCAAGAGTCAAAGCTGCAACAAAGCTGTCGTTTTTATTGAAATGTGACCCATACACAATTTTGTGAGTTCAAGACTCCGGGCAATTGTCTGAGCTCACATCCTTGAGCAATGTTGTGCTTTATTTATTTCGCGTCCTGCACTGACGATGACAAAGACAGCTTGCTACCACCTGCACATGCACCGTCTCGACAACTTCATACAGATAAAGCCCCCAGAAGTTCTGGCTGACCACCTTTCAAGTCACTATTTGGAAAGGAAACTACAGATTACGTATTCAACGATCTACGAAGCGCAACCGCCATTTCAAAATCGCCTCTCCGTCAACCATCTAATTGGGAGATCGGCTCCGACAATTCAGCTGGAGGCGTGCATCATCTCTCCTTCTGCAGTCAGTGTTTATGAGTCCGAGTCAACAATGTGCACACGTTTTTACTACCCTGTAGGAACCTCTCGTTTATAAGCAATTAAATTGCTGAACGACCCATTCAAGTTGGCCTCCCAATGTCAGAACCCACCTCAGAACAGTTTTCTCTCTTCAAAGACTCCATCGCTCGTAGACTGCTCGACCAACCGCATATGAACAATACATCTTCAGAATCATCTGACCTCGACGATTTCTCGTCTTATCTCGCCTCCGAATCATGGCCATCTTTCCCCCAGAGCGTTCGAGAAGCAACCTATGAATCCAGATCAAACTTGCCGGACGCAGAAACAATTTCCCTTGACTCCACCTCGACATCATTCGACGACACCCTCATCTCATACGGGCTCGCCGCAGACACAGACGATGCGCATAAATTTCTACGGAAAGCCCTTGCGGATTATATCGAGCAAGCGTGTGCGCCGCCTCCTGTCTGGAAATCAACTCGCGCCACCGAATGCGAGATTTGCGAGCGTACGGGTCCTCTAACGTACCACCATTTAATCCCTCGCTCGACACATACGAAGGTTTTGAAGAAAGGATGGCATCCAGAATACATGCTCAACTCGGTGGCTTGGCTTTGTCGGTGAGTTATCCCTCTCTGACTGTCCTATATTGATCACTGAACTTTTGCTTAGACAATGTCATTCGGCCGTTCATCACGTTGCCAGCAATGAGGATCTAGCACGTTACTTCCATACTGTCGAGCTCTTGTTGGAAAGAGAGGACATTCAGAAGTGGCGAAAGTATGCTTCTAAGCAGCGTTTTGGGATACGATGGGGTCAACGATCACCGTCGTGACTTCGGAGGCGTATACTAGATAAGGAGAGGGATAATTGTGTATGTAGGGCAGAACATACGCGGCTTGCACGCGGCTGCCGGGTACAACTCTCTCGTATCCACTTCCAGATCTATTTACTACGGGAGACCCTTCTCAAACTCTTCTACTTGAGTACCACTGCATCCCAAGCAAGAGTCTGTCCGAAAAACTCACCCAAAAAAAGCCACGCGACCGCGGTATTGTATACCACTTGCTTTGAATCGCAACATGTGCAAGCAGGAGCCAAATAACCCTGTTGACGTCACGCAATGACGTTCGCACTTTCTTTCCTGCACCACCATGTCGGCAACGAATTTAAATTTCAAGCCTCCCTCATCTCCAACGACGGCCGACCTACCCCCTGCACGGCAAGGAAAGATGCTCAAGCCCGTCTCACCCCCATTAGCGTCAACGAGGCTCTACCGCTTCATATACATCCTGCTCTTCCTCACCACCCTCCTCAGTGCATTCTACGCCTACCGCACAGTTCAATATAAGAAGGAGGTGGGTGGGTGGTGGAATCTCGCCTTGGGCAAAAAGCCAGCACAGTTTAAGGCGGAGAGGAGGCCTTCGTGCAGGAGGGAAGAAAGCGTGGAGGAGAGGATTAATGCGCTTGCCAAAGCGCTCGGAATGCCGTCGAAAGATTTGGCTGTGGCGATTGCGAGTGCGGTTCGGGAGTATGTTCCACCAGCGAGTCTGTCGTCCGTGGCGGCGAAGGAGAGTGGACCGGTCGTAGAGGCGCTGGTGAAGGGAAAAGCTGGCGATCACTCGGAGGAGAGTGCAGAGGCTGCAGAGTCTACTGGAGTGGCAGGCAGAGTTTTCAGTGGGATTGAGAACTTTGTTGGAATGGACGAAATCTGACGACAGCGCGAAGGCCAAATGTCTCTTTGATTGTTGTAGAAAGAATCCGCGACCTTGTACCAATATTCAGGAACTCATGCAACATACACGGACATCCATAGATGTAATAATGATAGCCTAAAAATCACATCCCAGGCTAGGCGGATGAGTGGTTTTTTTCTTTTTTTCTTTTTTTCTTTCGTAGAGGCGAGGCTCGTTGATCCACGTTATGGCATACTTGATAATAAAAATTGATTGTTTCATATATCTATCCTGTCTAAGGGGATAATGATGTTCCTTCCGTGATTGAATGATTATATTAAGTGTAGTGAAGGCTGTCTGATAATTATAGGGAAAGGTAAGAAACTGAATGTCATTTTTGATCAATTGCAATCGCGAAAATCAATCACAGCGAACTGGCATATCATTCTAAGTGAAGGTAAGAATGTTAAAAATGAATTTAATCACTGAAATAAATGCTACCCACTTGGCGAGTAAACGTGAGCATATGGCAAGTAATATAGCCCTTTGCGAAGCCAGCGCCAGCATACGCAAAAAGGTATTCCCACTTCCGCTTGAACGCCGCGTACTCTTGAACGTCTCGAAGAACCGGGTAGTCTTTTACAATGAGCTCTTGCATCAAGTTCGCTTCCAAACGCCTTCCCCATTCTCGAAGCGTCCGGGGATAGTCTGAAGAGAGGTATGTATGTAGTGTTTGAAAGTCCGGTTCGGTCCGGTTTTTTGATGCCCAGGGGCGTTAACCGTAACCGTAACCGGTCTGCCTTTTCCCCAGAAGTCAAAAGACTAGACCGGACCGCAAAAAGACCGCAGACCGCGGTTTTTTGCGGTCTATAGACCGGTTTCGGTCTGCATCAGTTTTAACCGGTTTATGACCGGTCTTTAGGCCAATATTTTAAAATTATGAATCGGTAAATTTATTAACATCTCTAATAGCTTCAAAACGAGCCCAAGAACGTTAAATTCCGTTAGGAATTGGTGCTTCTATAAAATAAGTCTGGTACATCTATTATTCCTAAAAGTAATTTACATTTTAATTCATATCTCTCTCGTTTTTTTACCAAATCGTACGTTCTTGGGTGCGTTTTAAAGGATATTTAAGGGGCTACAAAAGACCGGTCCAAACCGGTCAAGACCGGTTCACGTTAACCGGTTTTTTTGCGGTCTTTACATTTCAAAAATAAAAGACCGTAACCGCAGGTCCGGTCTTTTGCGGTCTTGGTCCGGTCTGGTTACGGTCTTTTTCCAGTCACGAGACCGGACTTCCAAACACTATATGTATAAGATGGGATTGAGGGGCATGTGAATATTTGAAGGCAACTGACGGGCTGCGTGGTTCTCGACGCCCTCAAGCATGAAACGGCCTTGTGATCCAGTCTGAGTGGCAGTGATCAAGGCTGTTGCGCTGGGCAGGCAAGAGTTAGGCCACATATATTTGTGCATGAAGTCTTCAGCTCTGTGGTAAAAAGTAAGGAAAGTCGGAATGAATTTTTGAGAAAGAACATACTGGTAACTGGAGAACCTCGACTTGGGGAAAGTGGAGGAAGTGACGACGACCGTAGCGTCTTTGGATTTCAGAGCAAAGTCTACCAGTTTGAAATAAGTGTTGTAGTGTTTCGCTCCGACATGCTATAATGTTTATCAGACGACTTCCCTTGTGCTTGAGAAAAGAAACTCACCTCAAGCATTTCGACACTGACAAAAGCGTCAAATGCCTTTTCAAATTCGGCTGGAATTTCACAGTAATCAAGGAGGTGGACTCTGATTCGGCCTTCCAGGCCAGCCTGTTTGATGCGTTCTTCAGTGAGTGATTCTTGTTCTTTTGATAGTGTCAATGTATCAACTTCACATCCGAAAGAACGTGCGGCCTGAGTTACTAGTTAGATGAATTAAGAAAAAATACCAATCGTGCACATACCTCAATGGCAACATCAGCAAAACCTGATTTTCACACATAGACAGGCATAGTGCTTCCACTGACATCATAGTTTCCCATAGTTACACACCAAGCTTGGCTAGATGCCCTAGAGCACCACAGCCCTGTGTGGACGTAAGCTGTGCTATACAGCACTACAGAGACTTGTGCCGTTACTATAGGGTGCTATAGAGGGGCCTCCACTTTCTACCCAGCCCTGATAGGGAGTTAAATTTTTCTGCATTGTTCAGTAGCTCCCATAAATTTCACAGGGTATACGAACAACGACACATACACACTCAGGCACATGACGATGTGTCACTGATCTCCCATCAAATTGGCTATTTTTGACACTCCGACGTATCTGCTGGATAGGTGCCATTAGGGTTAGGGATGTTAGGGTTAGGTATATAATAATACATGTCTTCTTGCGCAGTAGCGTGCTCTTAGGTCTCCCTGCGCAGTAGCACATTCTCGGTTAGGTTAGGAAGTTAGGGTTAATGGTTAGGGTTTGGGATATTTTGTCTCCCCATATGGTAGCGCGTTCTTGGTTAGGTTAGGAGGTTAGGGTTAGTGGTTAGGGTTAGGAGGTTAGGTTGCCAGTTAGGGTTTCAAACTCCACTGAATTCCCCATTCAGTGAGTGTGTCGTTCTACGTATATCCTCTAAATTTCATTATCAGTGACAAACGTGAAGTATCTACAAAATCTAACATAACCAAACAAACAGGTCTTCTCTTTGTCAAACACACTAGATCACAAAGGTACATGTCAGCATTTGGCAGACGTATCAACGTTGTGTTGGGCCTTGGAGAGGTGGATTGAGGGCGATGACGTTGAAACGGCTGAAATGCAAAGGTAAGTTCATGACTACTTGCATAACCACAAAAGCGAACGACTTACCTTGAAAATCGACAGTAAACTCATCATATCTTGAAGACGGACTCATGTTGAGGACGGCTGGGCATGATTGGTGATGTGGCAAATACAGGGAAACGTTCACAAGGCAAGAACACACATAAACGATCTTCAAAAGCAGTAAGTGAAGACTCAGTACTCGAACAACGGAAAACTCACATATTTTCCAAAGCTACGACTCGCAGCGTGTTTGTGCAACATTTACGACATCTTCAACACATTTGGCGGACGTTGATACGTCATGTTGAGCTTTGTGAAGATGGATCAGAGGCTGTAATGTCGAAATGGCTGGAATACAACAGTAAGTCCATCAATACCACATAATGATGAAAACTTATGACTTACTGTGAAGATCGACAGCAGAACATTATAATTGGGCAACGGACTTGCATTGGAGGTGGCTGGGGAGTAGTTGGTGACGTGGCGAGGACTCAAAAACGTTCAGGAGGCAACAAAGTGCATGAACCACCTTCAAAGAAGTAAGTTATCCCCTTAGAATCGAAAGTCACGTAGAACTCACCATTATATCAAAGCTACAACATTCAGCCACATCACAGAACATCCACCACGACCCAAACACAGTTGGCGGATGTTGATATGTTGTGGCGAGCCTTGGAGGGGTGGATAAGAGGCGGTGACATGAGGAAGCGATGGAATGACAAAGGTACGTCGAGCACTTTGTCACATCTTCATAAACTAACAGCACGTATGTCGTTCCAGCACACAATGTAGACCACAAATGATAAACGAGTCTTCGGAAGACCATGTTGTCCCCAGACAGCAATTGGCGGAAAGCGATACATTGTGTTGCATCGACACAACGAGGGGCAGGGATGACTCTAGACAGAACAGGTAAGTTCTTCTTCATCTTTGGGGTGTTAAAACACTGAGAGAACTTTTTATCTTCGTCTTTTGCAGGTTCTCAACTACAACCCATGCCATCCAACATCCAAAGGTCACCCACGCATCGAGAGGGTGTTTAGCGGACGACAATACATCATCTCGACACCATGGTGAGGTGCAAGGGGTCTGGAAGCTGGAGGGTGATGTTTCACTGTTCAGCAGATGACGTCTTGGGACCAGGAGGGGTGCACGGCATTGGGGAACAGTCAGAAACACTTGCCACCATGTAGGGAGGGCGTTTAGCAGACTCTGATATGCCATCTCGACGCCTGGGGGACCGATGACGAGTTGGAAGGGTTATGGAAGCTGGAGGGTGGCGTGTTCACTGGATGTCGGTACAGTTGCAGGAAGTCACGTGCTGCGCTCAAGTCACAAAAACACAATTCATTTCGTCAACTACAAGTTCAATGTACCTACCCTAAACCACCATGTGACTCATTCACTTTCTGAAGTTGGAAAATTTAAGTCACACCACTCTTTCTTTCCTCAACGTCAACCATCACCACTGCCTTTCCCCACATCGTTGCCTTTGCCTGTTCCAACTACTAAAACCTCAAGAAATAAGGCAAGTAATTGTTCACTGCTCAGTGCTGATGTATGAAGCTCTACTTAGGTACATTATGTGTTGTGATGGTACCCTCTCAATGTTCTGTGCCCCTCCTGAGTTATCCCCCTCCTGAGTTATCCCCCTTCCCTCTTTCTCTTTTCTTGCCAGATGTTGGATGTTGCCAATCAGCAGGGCACAACAATGACCAACAGACCACCACCCACAACCATGACTACCACAACCAAGACACGATGACCACAAAGATGACCATAACATGTTCATGACAACGACTACTACCACTACACTCATGATGACGTGTCCACGTCCACGCCCACGACCATGACTCCTCCATCCATGCGACCACAACCATGAACCACAAAAATGACGCATCCACGACCACACCCATGCATCCACAACCATAACCACATGTCCACAAGCACCATCAACCAATGCCACAAGTGCCCACCACCACCATGATCGACAAACAGTGCCCAGTGCCCAGCTCCACCACCATATGCACGATGATGAGCACGCCCTGTTCCACCACCTACACATGGTGATGAGCGCCCATGATGATGAGCATGCCTGGCTCCACCACCTATGCATGGCACCTCTTTAGCCCAACCTGCACTGACCACTTGCTTTAGCATTATCATTTTCTTGCTATTGTTATATTAGACTTGCACAGCAGTAGTGTAGACAATAAACTTATTTTTTCATAACACCCATTCTGTGTAAAAATCGTGCAATATGGTATTAAAATGAGCAGAATGTATGCCCCCCTCAAGGAATCTGCAGGCCCAAGGGGTTGCTACTGAGGGCTGCAGATTTGCTCTGAGATTCTAGGGAGTGCTGTGTAGTGGCTGTGTGTTTCTATGTAGAGCTGCATAGAAGACACAGCTGACTGTAAAGGTGATACCCCTTTCTATGGTGCTATGGTACTGCACAGCCCTGCCATGTGCTGCTTAGCTCACCCAGGTTTTGCTGATGAAGACCTCCCCATCCACTGCCAAATTCAAGAATTCTGTGTCCTGGTTTCATGTGCACTGAGTGAAGAACGTGGTGGATCTTTCGTCGCTGAGCTGCTTCCAGATCCCCATGTGTTGGCCCCACCTCAAGATCCCCTTGAAGGCCGCCTTCTGCATCGCTCCACAGGGCGCATGAGTACATCATCTCTTTGCTCAGGAATGCCTGATGACATTGCGTCCTTTAGTTGGAGTTCAAATGTAATAGGAAAGAGTCGATGACGCACCGTGAACAATTCGTTAGATTGGTCGTAGCTGGCGATTGCATTAAGACGAGCTTGAGAGTGTGTCTGGCCGAGGAAGCTGTTGTAGAGCCTGCTCATCGCTGAGGATACTTTTGCGACGGTTGAAGAGAGTGTGTCAGTCATCCCAGACTCGTTCTCTAGCCACAGCTATTTGAGTGATTTTAGCATCTGTTGGGAGATCATAAATAGAATCCACATACGTGCATAGCTCCCTTGAGGCTAGAGACCTGAACATCACCAATCATATATGCTTCGCTGACTGTTGGTCAGATGTCCGTTAATGACTTATGCATGATGAGCTGCTTGGTAGGTAGAAGAACTTACAGCCGAGATCACCAGATCTAAGACAACCTGACTTAGCTCAGCCCAAATTTCTTAAAAGTAAAATGCTACTTACAGTAAGATCCTCAACCAGAAAGTATCATTGATGATGTTGAGGTGCACATCATTGCATCCCTTTTGGTATTTTCTGTAATAGTGTGTCCCTTCTGAATTGGAGATAGTAAGGTGCCTGATGGTGATCGCCTTGTAGAGGACCGCAAGTATCGACGTGCGTGCTAAAGTAATATCGTCGACGTGTTAAATTGTGTTCTTGATAGTTAGCGATGATTTACTTACCAAACAACACTGCCCAAGATTGGGGGCTCAAAGTGTGTAGAGAAAAACGGGAAATGGCTTTCAAGAGCACAGTTGAAGAGGTGGGAATGTTAAGGCAAGATGAAGTGATGATTGAGGGCATTGTGGCTGGAAGGCTAGTTGTTGAAGAGGATTGTATGTTGTGAGAACTGCTGAAATGAGGTGGATTGGAGCCTTGTTTTATATGTTGCAGGCGACGCATGTCGTTGAAGGGATTTTCGTGGTTGGGAGCAACAATGTGGAAAGTAAGTCTGAGAAGTGGTGCCAACAAGACAACATATCCACAGGGCATTCAGATGGGCCATGGGAAGCGACGTGATCAGGAGACGCAGTGATTGTTGAATGTCCACAGCAAAGGTTGCATGGCTCAGGGACTTTGCTTGTTCCCGATATGGTGCGCTGAACCTCCAATTAGACACTGCGGCACAGTAGACAGACATGGGTGGATAGATTATCGAGGGATCCCATATCCAGAATGGCATAGGGCCCATCGTGCCAGGAGATAGTATTCGCCTCCACACCCAGAAATTATCATCGCCTATCAATCTCCGACAAAGCGGTATGATTTTCTCAGCTGTTCGAGCTGGAAAACCAGATAAATTGGGGCACTCTGGTAGTGATGAATTTCACCTCAACTGACTGTCGCACTGGTAAAAAGCGAAGTCAAGCAAAATCGCACAAAGTCAGAGGTCAGTCAGATGTCTGTCACACATCTGTAATATTCATGCCACCCTTCCCTCAAACTTCCCTTGGCAACAAATGGAAAGTAAGTTTAGTCATATGTTAGTATCAACATTGTCATACTTTTTCTACCCATGGCTATGCCAAGAATTTTTGTCTACAAATTACTTCGCACTAAGTTGGACTTGGAGTCACACTTGAAAGTCACATGATTGCTTTGTGTTGGAGTTTGAAAAGTTGGTCTTCAACTTGAAACTTGTTTGTCACTTCGATGACAGCCCCATACACTCTTCCTCGACACTCAACAGCTATACCTGTGGACATCCTCATTGACAGATTCCGCTTTTTTGTGTATGTATCCAACACACAAGACGAGCTCTCGAGAATACCACCATTGCGAACTCCCTTGGTCAAACACAACTTCTGACTTCCATACGTTACACAAAAACACGACGGCGATGCAACGAAAAGTTAAGTTGGCATCAGGTTTACTGACGACGCTGACGACACTCTTCGGCCGCAGGTCCCACCATCACCATGGCTCCTCATCCAACAATGCCTCCTGCTCAAATCCAGGTGGCGCATTCATCAACTCCCTCTCCCCTCCCCATTTCCCATGCAAATGGGAATGGCAACGACTCGGCCTCAGGTGCAGAGGATTTGATGGAGGTTGGATCTGGTAATGGGCCACTTGATGGTGTCGACGTGTCGTCGGAGCATTTGAATGGACTCGAGATGTTACAGAGGGCTTTTTATTGTCCCCCCCCCCTCATACTATACTCAGGCTCTAGGCCTACTACATGTATCCTTTAAAGTAGTCAAATATAATTTGATTTAGCCTATTTTCTATCCTGAATTGGGCCCAAGAATTAATGACTGAGGTATGACTATTATATGACTAGTACATGACCAACTGTACAACTAATGTATGACTATTTTAGTACAAGCATAGTCAGAAACACTTAAAAAAAACGACATTTAGTCAAACACCCTCTGATTGGTGACTTTCTCGTGACTAACATCCGACTTTGCTATTTACTGAGAGTAACGATTGACATCGTCGTGAATCAGCCAGTTCGCTTAGGTTACCCACCAAGACTTTAGATTATCAATGACGCCGCGTCAAGCCATGTGCTAAATTTACCTTGTCATTTTGTGCCAAACTAGCCGTGGGACCAGTTGAGCCATCATCATCTTGGGAAACACTTTACTTGCCTTGAATTGATTATCCACCTGTCGAGTGGTCACCTCAGAATACGAAGACATGACCCTGATCACCAAGTGTTCAGGGGGTAAGTCCGACAGCAGATGTTTAATGCCCATTCACTTGTCAAAATAAAAACTGACTTCCTCGGACTTGAGATGTATCGTTTCTTTGCCCGGAGACCTTCAGGCACTCGTAGGTATGCCGGTTGAGCTTCCCTGGCCAGTCAGTCGTCGTAGGACATCCTTGGTCTTCGAAGTGGTCAATAACGCCACCTGTGGACTTAGCGTATATTGCCCCACACGGCCTATGAAGTATCTATGGTATAAACAAATCAACTGCTCAGTGATCTTGACGAGGTTACTCACATCTTCTTGCAGCACAAAATCTACTATCATCTCAGCAAAAAAAAACATTGCTGGACTTTGTCTGGTAACAAATTGGTGCTGGATGATTCGTCACATAGTGTATCTTCATTGTTCAACTAAGCCATCACATTACGCAAGTGAGTGACCAGGTGTTAAATGTTTGGTGCCAGACTTACTCTGAACACTTGTTGGTCAGGGTCCCTGTGAAACCGAGCGGTTGTACTTGACTTCTTGACGAAGGCGTAGACGAGAGACGGTTGCGGAGAAGAGACGTGGTATGTGTGATAATGCACGTGGCGCGGATACGGATATCGTAGCCACACCTTCGTGATCCAGTGACCCAGGATGAGGGACGCGGTCACCCGGCGCAGGGCTCTGATATCCCGGAGGGGAGGCGTGAGGCTGCCTAGCCGTAAACGATATGAGTGACCCGCTCCACATCTAAGTTTAAGGTGGAAGTTGCAAGTGGTTTATTTGGCTACTGTAACGCATTATAACAAAATACAAAATATATGTAAATATGGTGGTCCCATGTCATGCAAGGTAAGGAAGGTAACTACCACGTTATTACAAAGCCCCCCCATGAAATTGGAGCATCATCCATGATGAGAGAGTCCTCTTACCGACAGCGTCGCCGATGTTTCCGCTCTTCGCGTTCCTCATCGCGCTTTCGGTACCCTTGAATCTTCTGACCGCTATGCCGCCCCCTCTTCGTTCGCTTGTAATCTTCTTCCCCGTCGTCTCCCTGATCGGTAGGATCTTCATCCATGGGTGCTTGATGATAAGACGAACTTCCTGAGGCTGTTGCTGGATGTAGTGATTCAGTACTGAAGTCAGCTAGTGCAGCTGAGCCAAGGTAGGGAGAGTGGTCAACCACCATGGGGTCTGCGGTTTCGAGACGATCGGCGAGCGTCAGCCAACCTGGAGCAGTCAACCTCGCAGCTAGTGCAGCTGGGGGGGCTGGATCAGTCAACCTTGCTGATAGCTGGTCTGTCATTCGAGACATGAGGGTTGGTCGTGCGGGAGCTGGAGGCGGGGAATCGGACCGTAGCTCGACCGTAGCTGAAATTCTTGAAGCTAGCGACGCAGTAGATGAGCCTCTCGAAGTATCCAACGAAGACGGCGGCACGTTCAAGGTAGGCAATGCTGCGGCTACTGGCCAAGGCAGCAGGGCACTTGGAGTTGGTCCGGTAGGTGCCATTGGATAAGGCAGCACGGTTGTATTTCCTTGCAGAAGGACGGGGCTAAAGGTATTACCGGAGGGGGACCACATAAAAGCAACATTCGCGCCGAAAGGCAGCGGGGCGTTGTGTGGTAGTCTGGCGAAAGCTGGCATGCCTGGAAGTACTGGCAGAGGGGGAATGTGGATCGTTGCATCAGCATTGGAGTTCCGGAGGGTTAAAGGACTAGCGTTCTCCTGCTCCCTTGAAGGTTGCGTAGCTAGCTCCCCAGGAGGTCGATATGATCGAGGTCCAGGCGACCTGGAATGACGATATGGAGAACGAGCACGACGACGAGGCGATGGGGATCGTTGATACCTTCTACGATAGGTGGAATGGGAAGGGGATTGTTGCCGAGGGAGGGGTGAAAGCCTTCTGTTAACTCTGTAGCGTTCCATCGAAGGAGATCGACGACGATTGTCGCGCGTTTGCCGACGTTCCCCACTGCTCCATCCTCGAGAAGAAGAGCTCACTGCCAGAGCCACCGATTGGAGCGAGGACGGACCTTGACTTCCGTTGTTGGAGAGAGTGTCTGGCCATCTATGGGAAGCGCGGGCGAGAGCTCCCACGTAGTCTTCATAATCAGCGTAGGCGACTCGTAATTCTATCCCATTCTCTTGCCTATGATGCATATGAGTCCTCATTTGGCGAGCTTGCTCCATGGATTCCATCTCGAACCAAAAACTTTGATTTCGGTCGGCGCTAACTTGGAATATTTGCCTGACTGTCAAGTGAAGGCATGTCGCAATTGACGTTATCATGTCCTGGATAACGGGAAACTCTTCTGATGTGGGTATTCCGTAAAGCATTAAGAAAGAAGAGGCAAACTCTAAGGGATCCGCTGGAGTGACGGCTTCCGTATTGATTTCTGAATCCACTGTAAAGGAGAGAGGAGGGATCTGTAGACCCATAACATCGTGGTTATGCTCGTCGTCTCCCCACGAAATCTCATCATCCTCCTGCATATGATTCGTCTTAGAGAGAGATAGGTTTGGATCAATGGAAGCAGGCTCGGTGGTGGCTTCCCCCACTCCTGAAGTCGCGCCTATAGCAGCAGGCTGTATCTCGATAGCTTGCACAGCGGGTTCAATCCCCGTGATTTGAGCAGCGGGCGTGGTAGTCGCGCTCACAGATGATACATCAGCATTGATTGTCACGTTCAACACCGGAGGGGCTTGATCACCCTCGTCCGGATAGTAATCGTTGTCGCTGTCGCTGTCATCATCGGGCGGGGGATTGGGCTGAGAGGGTTTCCTCAAGGGCGGCAATTCTTCCGGTCTTGGGACAGGCGCTTTTCTGCCGACATCCGTTGGTTGGGGCTCCATGGTTTGATAAATCCAGCGAGGTTGCACAAATCGCTTTTTGTTAATGCCCTTGTAGACTCCTTTCGGGCAGGGCTGGCCAAAAATGCTCAGGTCAGACACGCAACCTTCTGGTATCTTAGGTGGTCGAAGGAAGAATAGATGCCAGCATTTCTCTCGATCATACATGGAATGCGTCGGGTGGACAGGAGCATTCTTCGCACCAACTTCCTTGAAGGATCCTTCGGGGTCGTAATTCTCCACAAACTTAATCCATCTTTTGTGTTCATGAGCAGGAGCGTTAGCTCGACTTGCAGCTGCTTTCTTGACTGGGGGAGGCTTGATCCATGGTACTCGATCACTTGCGATAGAGATGGTCTCCAAGGGAGGGGGTCCATAGTCAACCGCGGACTTATCTGCAGACTTCGTATCAGGAGATCTGGATTCATCTCGCCTGTTGACTACAGCTTGTGGCCATACCCACCCTGGGTCGTGGATCGTAGCGGTGTCCGGTAGGGACAAATCTCCTCGAGATATAGCCATTGAATCATAGTCGTTTATGGTCCAGTGGATGGATGACGCGCTAGTCCCTGCGGCAAAGTCTATCACGGTCTCTCGTGCAGCGAGTAGAACGCGCTCAAGAGACGTGACTTCCCTTACTACAAAACACAGGATGCCTTCCTTTAGATACCATCGCGCTTGTTGTTCTTCTGCTCCATTTAACCACACACCCAGGTAGCGGTCGTCGGCCATCACGACTTCAGCGTCAGCGTCCGGCATCCAGAACGGGGTATCTTGTAGTCTGGAGACGTAATCTACGAAGGCGTGCTTATCCTTCAACCCTCGCTGGGCTTAAAGCTGAGCATTCCTCGTGGGGTCAAAGGGCCCCATGTGGCCATCGTAGCGTCGATGTTGTTCCTCGAAGAAACGGACTTGAAGGTTTAGATTAGCAGGTCGGATACCAGGGCAGAAGGCGTTTTGCAGGGAATTGGGTGATGTTATCTCCCACATACGACCTTGGTTGGCGACGTATCTCCGGTGAACAGATGCAGGCAAATCATATGTCGGAGGAGGAGGAAGGTGAGGGATCTGATCGTAACCAGCGAAACTTGGATTCCGTCGAGGAAAGTAGCGTCTTGCGTCATTACCATCCGCTCCTTTGACGTGGCCCAGTCGTCCAGCCATGAATAGCGGACTTGTGGGTAATCGCACTCGAAAGCAGCGGGACACCACGTTCGAAGTTCTGTTGAAGTCAAATGAAAAGAGAATTGAAGTTGATGTATACGTGGAATAATCGGAGTTTCGGAGTTTAAATAGTTCTGTACAGTATTACTAACGATCCTTGAGCAAGTCAGGGTTCGATATATATATAGCGCAGGGATAGCTTGAAGTAATCATATAGTTAAGCCTTTGGAATCCAGATAGCTTCTCTTGAGTTGAGCAGAGTTTCGTAAGTCATATTCCGAGACCCAGGAGTCATCAGCGGGCCCATAGCCCTTCCATCTGACTAGGAACATCCGGCGGTTTGCTTTCTTCTTGCCTACGAAGCGATGTCCCAGGATAGATTCCACTTCGTACTCCTCAGTTGGTCGTAAGTCCCGCATCGAAGGCAATTCTGTACGTTCTCCGAATCGATCCAGTGAGAGTTCGTATTTCTTCAAATGCTGTAAGTTGAACACGGGGTGCATCGAATAAGTGTCCAGTAGGCATAACCGATAAACCATGGGATTGATTCTTTCGACCACTTCGAAGGGCCCAATCATCCACTGTATGAGTTTCTTGCCGGTCCCTTCAACGTCTACCAATTCAAGGGAATGTGGATTAACCAGAGCGTAGTCTCCAACCTTCAGTTCTTGAACTGGTCGCCTTTTCTTATCATAGGCTTTCGCTTGTCGGTCTTGAGCTAAGGCAATAGCGTCCTTAGCGAAGTTGCGATGAATTTCCAAAGCCTCAACGAAGTCCTCGGCAGATTGACTGGGAAGGAAGGGGCGGCGAGCAGGGTCGATTTCTGGTATTATCGCGCTTACTGAAGTTCTCGGGTTATATCCCATGAGCAGGAAATTAGGAGTGTATTTAGTAGATGAATGCACGCTGCTGTTGTACGAATAGGCTAGGACACTAAGCCAGTTCGACCAACTCTCCTTGTCAGAGGAGACGAAAGCGCGAAGCATTTGTTCAATGGTTGCATTAAGAATTTCGGTTTGACCGTCTGTCTGCGGATGGTGCACAGATGAAAGTGCCATGATGCTCCTGTAATTGGAGACCACTGATCTCCAGAAGATGGTGGCCCAACGTTTATCTCAATCTGAGATTATGACTTCAGGCAAACCGTAGACATTGACGACCCTTTCGACAAACAGCTTAGCGAATCCTTCCTGCGTTAGAGTCGTATGGGTAGGGATTATAATAGCGAACTTGGTAAGCTTATCCACTATTACTAGTATAGCGGTATATTTTTGTTCTCCTGATGGTGGTAATCCTGTTATCATGTCCATGGAGACTGTGGAGAATGGTCGAGATGGTATATGCGCGGGCCTGAGCACGCCCATCTTAGCACGATGGTCGGTTTTGATCTTTTGGCAGACGTCGCACATGGTTGTGTAAGCTTCAGCGTCCCTGTTCATGTTTGGCCAGTAGAACAGTTCTTGGAGTTGCGCTATGAAGCAGCGTGGTCCAGCGTGAGCACTTTCGTAGGGGGATTCGTGTATCCATCGCAGCACGTAATTGACCTTGGCGTTGGGCACACACAATCGCGTTTTCCAGGCTGCATCCGTAAAGTAGAGAAGACCGTCCTGCCCTCTCTGGAAGTGACTAGTGGAGATTATAGTTCGCTCATTAGGTTGAACTTGGATGTAACGGGGGGCGAAGAACTTGTCCCTCTCGTAACCCTCCGCGAATTCCTTGCAGATCTGAGGGTCGACGGCTATAAGCAGCTGAGTTCGTTTTGACCATTCCTCGTCCGACGGTAGCTCTGAGGGTTTGACACCAGCTGGATACGTCCAATGATCCGATTTAGGAAAAGGTAAGATTTCTCCCTGTTCATCGAGGTTTGAAGGAGCAGTCTCCCCCCCTTCCTTTTCCAATACGAGTTGATCATCACTCTTGGTTTTATCTCGAATTTCGCGCTCTTCATTGGCAGCGAGTTGGCGTCTGGTTCGGACTGCGAATGCTTGTTTGTCAATGACGTCTTCCCACCACATTACACAGAAGGCCGCCTTAGGAGCGGCCGCTCTAAATATCCTATCTTCAGCCTTCTGAGCGATGTTACGTTTGACGGGATCCTGCTCGATAGGGGTGATATCATCGCTGAGAGGCGAGTCGTGCGGTGGTATTCTTATCAGCCGAGAAAGGGGATCGACATTGGAATGTACCCTCCCTGCTCGATGCACTATCCTGAGCCCAGGATAGGCGGCGAATACAGCCCCCCAGGCTGCTAGACGATGGTTGGCGTTCTCATAGACTCACGCCCATACTAAGGCAGCGTGATCTGTGATCAGAGTGATATCTTCCCCTTCTATAAAAGGTTGGAATCTGACAAGCGCTTCTTTAGCAGCCAACGCTTCCCTTTCCGTCGCACTATAGTTCCTTTCGGCAGACTTAAATGTTCGGCTCCAGTAAGCGATAACTCTCTCGATGTGTACTGTAGTCTCATTGGATGGGTGGTATACACTTTTATGATAAAAACCAGACATATGCCTGGAGGGCGATGTGTATAATGCCTAGAGGTTCAATGAGATCGCATATCTCATTGTTCTGGGATATTTCATTGCGATTTTCATATGGATACCTGGTGCTTTCAATATATATTTCATTCTCAACCCCAGGATATTTCATTGCAATTTTCATATGGATACCTGGCACTTTCATTGGATATTTCATTGCTAAACCCAGGATATCTCATTGTGCTTTTCATCTGAATGCCTGGCGCTTTCAATGGATATTTCATTCTTGTTCCTAGGATATTTCATTGCACTTTTCATAGATATACCTGGTGCTTTCATTGGATATTTCATTGCTAAACCCAGGATATCTCATTGTGCTTCTCATTGGGATGCCTGGCGCTTTCAATGGATATTTCATTCTTATTCCTAGGAGATTTCATTGCACTTTTCATATGTGTACCTGGCGCTTTCAATGAATATTTCATTTTTAGCGGCAGCTGACCTTTCAGGGTCCAGGGTGCATTTCCAAATGTAAAATAGCAATAAAATCAGGAAATATTAGGGCTCATTGCTGATCATCATGTTGGGTAACATTGTCAGGGTCCAGGGTCCAGTTCCAAATGTGGTAATATATCCAAAAATAGCCAGAAAAATAGCAGAAAAATTGAATATATATAAAAATGGTGTACAGAACATCAGGCACTGCCTTCAGGGTCCACTTCAGGTTCCATCCCAAAAGGGAAATATCACCTGGTTTGACCAAAAAGCAAGTGGAGAATGATTTCACCTATCAGGGTCCATGTAATGGGATGTTGGGATGATGGTCACATGACCAATTACCAAAAATGGTCAAAAAACAAAAGTTGTAGCCCTACACTGTAGCTTCCTGAATCTGTTTGAATTATGTTCTGAAGTGCTCCCATTGTGGAGAAATGAGGTAAAGGAATCCCAAAAGTGTCGTGTTTTTTTTTTTTTTTTTTGCATTTTTCTCCATGAAAACAAAACCAAACAATATGATTTCAGTATATTTAGAAAGCTAAAAGAAAGGGCTACAACTATTGTATCGTGGGAAAAATGACCAAAAAAGGAAGGTGCATGCCCTAAAAAAGGAATGGTCAGATATAGACTACCAAGTTTACTAATAGACTACAAAAAAGTCGGACTCAACTACAAAGTTTACTGATAGACTACATAAGACTACAAAAGTCAGACATAGACTACAAATTTTACTGATACATTACAAAAGACTACAAAAGTTGGACTTAGACTACAAAGTTAGGGTTAGGGCTAAAAGGTTATCCAAAGTCAACCTAGCCCATCCATCACATACATGGCACATATTTGATGGGGAAATGGCTGGGGAATATACAGATACATTGCAGGGACTCTATTCCATGTCTAGTTTGAGGAATCATATGCAAAAGAGAGCATGAGAGCCTTTAGAAAAGGCACTTTTTTAGACTACAAAAGTTTGTAGTGTCTGCTTTTGTCATCAGAAAGTTTGTAGTGTCCGCTTTTTAGACTACAAAAGTTTGTAGTGTCCGCTTTGTTATTGGAAAAGTTTGTAGTGTCTGCTTTTTCATTTGAAAAAGTGTGTAGTGTCCGCTTTTTTAGACTACAAAAGTTTGTAGTGTGCGCTTTTTCATTAGAAAAGTTTGAAGTGTCTGCTTTTTGAGACTACAAAAGTTTGTAGTTGACATGTAGGTTATGGTGTCCTTGGCCCTGTCTAGGTTATGGGGATGAGGTTGAAGGATTGACATGATCTTACATATTGCCAGTGCTGCAGCATTAGTTTTTGACATCATGCACAAGTTGTCTTTCACATTAGGAAAGGCTATTCTAAGCTTTTCATATTGACACCTACTGTCCT